CCGAGTCCGTCGAAGGCACTCCCAGCCGCGCGAGATCTGCTACCCCGAGTGCTGATTCGGAGGTTTCTCAAGCCACGACAACCATTCCGTCGTTGTCTCTCACCACTCCCGACACCAGCGGCATGACGGACCCCGTCAAGAGGCCAGCTGCTCCCAGACCTGCTATGGTTGATTCCGGAATGATGACTGAGCCGATGGTCCACTCTCCTCCGATGTCACCCGTCAGCGTTGTTCACGATGACCGAGATATCCCATCACTTGGTTCTCTGGTGGCCGCAAACCAGATCTCCGACGGACTCAAGTCTCGGCCGCTGTCTACGATTTCCTATAGCGATGCAGGCGCTCAGTACGACATGGACGAGAAGCTCGCGCAGTTCCCCATGCCGCCATCCCCCAACAAGCAGTTCGTCCTGCCGCCACTGCCCGAGCTTAGCATGTCTTCAATCGATATTCAGGACATCGAACCCATCGTGGAGCCTGAGACGCCTCCGCCGGCGCCAGCCCCGCTCACTATGACATCGATTGTGTCTGAGGCGGTTGAACCCAAGGCTGAGCCTGAAATCGTGCCACCAGCCCCTGTCTTGGCCTACACTCCTCTTGTCTCGGAGGTTGTTGAGCCCAAGGCTGAACCTGAGGTGCCGCCTCCCACGCTGAGCATCTCATCCTTCCTTTCCGAGGCGGTCGAGCCCAAGGCGGAGCCGGACGTGCCACCTCCAGTGTTGAGTCTTTCTGCACTCCACGCACACAACCTCGAGCCCGTGGCCGAGCCACCGGTTCTCCCGCCGGCACTCAGCCTGTCTGCGCTGCAAGCTCATGACATCGAGCCAATTGCGGAGCCTGAAGTTCCTCCTCCAGCTCTCAGCCTTTCGGCCTTGCATTCCCACAACCTGGAGCCGGTTGCTGAACACCAGGCCCTTCCTCCAGCTCTGAGCCTTTCTGCTCTTCACGCACATAACCTCGAGCCCATCGCCGAGCCCGAGGCTGTGGTTCCTATGCCCGACCTCACCATGTCTGCTCTTGTGTCTGAGGACATTGAGCCCAAGGCTGAGCCCGAGTCCGAGGCCGTCAGGGCCGTGCCTGCACCTATCCCGGTTCCGACACCGGCGCCGGCTCCAATTCTTAGTCTCTCGTCCATTGCCTCAGAGCAAGTTGAACCCAAGGCCGAGCCCGAAGTCGTTCAGGAGACTCCTGTTCTCAGCCTCTCTGCGCTCTACGCCCACAACCTTGAGCCTAGAGCAGAGCCTGCGGTTTTGCCTCCTGCCCTCACTCTGTCGTCCATCGTGGCGGAGAATGTCGAGCCCAAGGCAGAGCCCGAGGTCGTTCCTCAGTTGGCGTTCTCGTCAATCGCGGCTGAGAACATTGAGCCGAGGGAGGAGCCTGAGATCATCCCCGCTCCGCCAACCCTCAGCCTCACAGCGATTGCCTCTGAAAACATTGAGCCCAAGGCTGAGCTCCCCCCAACTCTCACGTTGTCTTCGCTCTCATACGCCAACATTGAGCCTCTTGCTGAGCCTGAGGTACTGCCACCGCCGCCTCCTGCGCTTAGCCTTTCGTCCATCGCGTCGGAGAACATTGAGCCGAAGGCTGAGCCCGAGGTCCTCGCGCCTCCCCCTGCGATCCTGGCGTACTCCAACATTCACTCCCAGGCCGTGTCGCCCCGCGCCGACCCTGTCCCCTCCTTGGACTTCTCTACGCTTCTCTCCCAGCAAGTCGAGCCTGTTCAGTCGCCCGAGGCCAAGATTCCCAAGCCCAACTTCGCCTTCTCGAACATTGAGTCGATCGAAACTCACCCGATCTCGCCTCGCAGCCTCAAGCGGGACGGCTTCATCATCCCCGCCGACATGGAATCGCCATTTGATGAGGATGTGCCCAGAACGCCCAAGAACGGCCTCATGGGCTCTGTCTTCGGTCGCGGCAAGAACAAGGCCCAGGCCGACCCCATCATTGCCGAGGACGAGACCCGACAATCCCCTAGTGAGGTTCGACCGTCTGAGACTCCTGAGTCTCAGCGTCCCTTCAAGGAGATCTCGACCAACGCCAACGGTCGCCCTGCCCGCAAGGCCACGGTCCAGACGACTGATATGGGCGCCCAGACTTCGCTCACAGCCGAGGCTATCGATGAGATGCTCCTGGCCAAGACTCAGCCTGTCGAGGCACAGGATAAGTCATCGGTTTTCATTGGCACTCCCAACTCTTCGGGCACTGTTCGCATTCGCCGCCCGTCTCACGACAGCCTCAGCAGCATTTCCACCGAGCAAAAGATGGGAAGACCAAGCAGTGCCAGCAGCAACCGCATGCTTAACCAGCCGCTCCCACCGCTGCCGACGAACCACAAGGAGGCCATCGAGGCGGCAAGGACTGGCTCCAGAGCTGGATCGTCACAGGGAAGCATGGGACCCCCTCTGTGGCCCGCTTCTGCCATGAGGAGCCAACGACCGCAAACCCCTAACGGCGGACGGCCGCAGTCTCCCCTGTCAATTGTCACCAAGAACTCGGCTACTCCTCGCATGGCTCGGGCTGGTCCTTCGTACGGAACCGCCGAGGTTGCTGTTCAGTCCCCGACTAAGCTGTCGACCATGAGCAGACAATCATCGGTGTCCTCCTTCGTCTCCGAGATTGACCATCGCTTCAACCCTCGTAACGAGCTGGGTGGCATGGACCCATCTGGATTTGGCGCCAACACCGACCCTCGCATGATCCAGGCCATCACTTCCACCATGATTGGAGAATACTTGTGGAAGTACACTCGCAAGGCTGGCCGTGGAGAAATCTCCGAACACAGACACAGACGGTACTTCTGGGTCCACCCATACACCCGCACCTTGTACTGGAGCGACCGTGACCCGGCAGCTGCCGGTCGATCTGAGCTCCGTGGCAAGAGTGTTCCGATTGAGGCTGTTCGTGTGGTGACGGACGACAACCCCATGCCCCCCGGCCTCCACCGCAAGAGTTTGATTGTTATCTCTCCTGGCAGGACGATCAAGTTTACATGCACAACCGGCCAGAGACACGAGACATGGTTCAACGCTTTGTCTTACCTCTTGCTCCGCACAGCCGATGAGGGCCAGTCTGACGTCGAAGAGATGGCTGGGCACATTACCCAGGCCGATGTGGACGAGTTCAACCCCCAGTTTGGCCGTCGCACCAACTCCACGGCTCGCCCACGGCCGCCTCCATCCGTGTCCTCGTACAACTCGAGGACGACCCGCAACCAGTCCCCTGCGATTGACATGTCGATGAACGTCCCTACTCTGACCCCCAACAAGGGTCAGGCCCAGAGACCTTCCATTGGGACCCTGGGAAGGATCAGCGGCTACTTTAACACCTTCTCCAGCATGAGGAGCCGCAGTGGAGTTGCCCCCAACTCCAGCATTTACGAGGCCAGCGAGGTGCACGATAGTGCCGAGGACCTCCGGGAAATTATTGAGAGACAAGACCGGGATGCCGACCGACTGGAGAACGTGCGCGCCTGCTGCGATGGTAAGTCTGGGCCGCAAGAAGCCTCACATTGCAACGATGCTAACAAGTTTACAGGCAAGCACGACGTTGGTACACTTCATCACCACTCTAAGAGAGGCCAGCCTTCTGGCTCCCACTCCCACTCTCAACCCGGACGTTCTGCGTCTGCCATGAGCACCTTAAGGTCGCGAGCCTAAGCTGGTGGTTCGCATTCCCATCGAACATCTCCACGCGGCTGTTGAGCAGCCTTCCTTCCCAAGTAATTTTAAAAGCAATGAAGCATTCTTCCCATCCACTCGCTACGCCACAACTGGCTCGGGGGCACCATCCCCACTCTCATGATCAATTCGCTCGCACGCAACGGATCACGACGTCTATGACAACCTTCTCCTTGCCGTCTAAACAGCCTGGGATTACCCTGCATGCCTTGGGCACCATTCTCCTTCCGTTTCCGACCTAATCAATCACGACTTGCATCCAGGACACCGCGTCCTACGACCAATTTCCTTTTGCGCGTCTAAGTCGAATGACTTTTGATCAACAAACCCACCACTACCGCCATCACTGCTAAAAACCAACCCGCGAAAAAAATTACCGGGGATTGCCAACATACAGATTATCTGGATCATGCTGGCTCTTATCTTTTTTTTGTGTCCGTCTCTTGTTGTACTACCGGGAGCAACCTGTTCTTGTTCCATATGGGGAGTTGGGTTAATCAAACTTGCCGAGCTCTTCATTTCACCGGCGTGTCGAGGCGAACTGGGGGACCCGTGGATTAAAGCATGCATGGATCGGCATTGGGCAAATGTATCACAAACACAAACCACCGCGATGGGAATCAGTGTGGAGTTTTCCTCATTACCGTTTTGCTTTACACAGCGCGGCACTATTGTGTTTGTTGGCACTCACACACTCACACACACCAAAAAAACAACAATCTTCTATGTACAACCTCTCTTGTTCTTAACTCTCTTTTTTACGTTCAGTATCAGCTCGGGCGTGGCTCCGGCTGTCTAGTGTAGATGTAATGCCTAAAGTTGCTTCTGCCCTTGATCATTTGGCGCGCACGCGTTTGCGTTCTAGTGTGAGTCGGGAACAGCTCCGACTGGGATCATCCCGCGACTTGACATTTCATGCGCCGTTTGTCATCTGGCACCGCCATCCGTAAACGGGGGATTGGGGATGGCATTTCGAGGTTAGCTTCTTTGCTTGTCGTAATTTCGGCCCAGACGGATGGTGAAGATCCACCAGCCAGACCAGACTCACTCGGATGCACAGACATAAAGTCGACGGATGTGTTGATAAAGTGTGGATATGCTATTCTCAGCCCAGGGACACTAACCGTCATATGTACAGGAACAGTTTTTAAGTGTATCAAAAGTATGTTGCGTCCTCTCTCTCTCCTCCTTTATGCTGCTGCTGCTGCTTTGGTAATGATCATGGTATCCTGAAATAACGCCCCTTCCGTTTGCCCGAACCCGATTTCCCCTAATCCCAGAAACCCTGATGCCAAAGAAACACACATACAAAAAACTCAATATTTAACTCGTCGCTGCTGCGGGGGCTGCAGTCCCATTGCTTCCCGTAATGATGGGCTTCTTATTCTCTTCCTCGTATACGTCGTTGGTGTTATCGTCTTCCATCCACGCGGAGTAGTCATCGTCATCGTCTAAGTTGGCGGGCACCGCCTCAATGGGGCTCGCGCGCCTCTCGGGGAGGGGCGGCGGGGTGCGGCTCGCTTCTTCGCTGGTGGTGCTGCCGCTGCTTCCACGGCTCTCGCGGGAGGGAGCGGTTGTAGAGATCGGTTCCTCATAGTCTTCCGTGTCTTCGGCCCATGGCTGGACGTATGCCGGTGGAGGGCCGTTCTCGTCCATTGGGGTTGTGGGCTCAGAGTCGAGGGGCGCTTCGACGACAAGCATGTTTTCGCCGCCGTCGTTGCTGTTGTCGATGTGGCGGCGTGAGGGCAGCGGGGGAGGCGGCACTGGTCTGCGCTCTGAGCGGTCCGACTTGCTTTCGACCAACGGTGGCGGAATCGGTTTGCGAGTCGGCCGGCTTTCGGACAGCGCAGCTGAATGGGGTCGCTCGGGCAGCTCTGGAGGGGATATAGGCTTTCGCTTCTGCACAGGGATCGTGGTGACCTTTGAGCCCTTCACGGGAGGCGGGAGGGGTGTGCCGGGTGGTGGCAGAGGTTGTCCTCGTCCCATGGGCTGGTTCAGGTCTACCGGCGGATTTTGCTCACTGGCGTTTCCATTTTTGGCGTCCTTGTGTTTCTGGAGAGCGTTCCAACCCCACTGCCTTGCTGTGACTGCGGCGTTTGCGACCGCAGCAAGCGTAGTGCGTTTGCCTTCGCCGTTTGTAGAGGCGGCGCTCGATGCCACCGTGCTGTTAGTGTCTCGCCTGAACAAGCCCTTGGAGATTGAGCCCGTAGCGCTCCTGATTGAGGGTGCTCTCGAAGTTGCCGCCGTTGGTGAGCTTGGATCTGTTGACTCGGTCGCTCGCAGCGACTCGGCGGACGACGTCGTGCTCCGTCTCTTATTGGCTACCGGCGTTCGATCGGTCTCGTTCTCATTATCTGTAGCTTCGCGAGAGGACGCAGAGGACTGGCTTCGTGCTTTCGCGACGGGTGGGGGCTTTGCTGGAGTATCGGTGGGTGTCGCAGCAGCAGAGTTGCCCTGGGACCGCGCAGACAGCGCTGCCATCATGCTTGATGCATGGTCCGGCGGTGAACTGGACGGCTTAAACATGTCTGCGTGAGCCGCATCCGTTCCGACCACTGGGTTCGCTGGACTCGATACGGACGGCGATCTGAACGGCTTAGGCTTAGATGCCGGTGATGTAGGCGAGCCCACGACATCGACGCTTGTGGACGAGCTGTTCAAGGGGCTGCTGGTTCCCTTGCCTTGTATCTTCCTGCCGAACAAGCCAGTGTGCGACGAATTCTCAACGATCGGCATGCTGTGACTCTTCTCGAACGGCCTCATGTCGCTTGGTCTCAGGTCGCTTTGCAGGTCCCCCGTGTCCTCCAAGCGGTCGACTCCCTCCACATCGCCCTCTTGTGCCACGTGAGCCTCCATGCTAGGCGACCCGACGACAGCGTCATCGTCTTCCCAGATTCCGCCTCGCCACTTCTTGTGCTCTGTATTGAAGAAGGGCATGTCGTCCCAGAATGGTTGCACCAATGTTTCCGCAATAACCTCCTTGATCCGGTTTTCAATCTGTCGTAGAATAATGGTGTAGGTAATTTGCCTAGCACTGACAATAGGCTCGATGGTCATCTCCACTTTCGGCTGACTCTGGAAGGAGAGCCAAATTCGATTACTCGGTGGCGGCTTGATCTTGAAGAGCATGTGTCCTTCAAGCTTCTTCAAGACGACAGCGAGAACGAGGTCGACCTCGCGGACCTTGAAGCGTGACCCAAGGTCGATGCGAGCTGTCGCAGCCACCTCGATTCGGAAGTTTCCAGTATACCGTACATCTGCCTCCATCACACACTCACCCTCCACGTTCAAGTCCCTGTGGCGAGGGTTAGTGATGATGGGGGCTGATTCGCCAGTTTCAATCCCGCGGATGGCAATGTTAGTAAGGAATGACGGCCGCTTCACCCGCGCAATCTTCTTAGTGAGCTTCTCTCGAATCAAGTGCTCCAAATCGGTCGTCTTGTAAATTCCGAGGAATATGCGGCCAATCATGGCATTCAACCATCGAGTGGATAGATGCTCTTCAGAAGAGTGTAGCTTCTGGACCAAAGATATGATGTTCTTGACCTCAAATTGCTTCGGTTTGGGCGCTATCCGGTCATTGCCAAAAGTCTGCTCCTGGTTGCGGAGCAAGGCGAAGTAGAAGTCTTCCTTTGCTGAGCAGTTCTCCGAGAAAAGGTAGAACGGTTTGGAGAGCTGGCTATCTGGACCAACTTCCGGCCCGTCTGGCCTCCTCGACAAACACAACGCATTCCTCTTGATGTACAGCTCTCCCTCGGGCGTCACGTCTCCCCCGGAGTATATACTGACATCGTGGTGCGCAAGTGATATGACATGTCGGACTTCGATCTGCTCGTCATCGTCAAAGAGCATCAGATGCCCATGCCTGGTGCTTGTCAGTCAAAGTCGCGAGGCGCATGGACAAGGTGCACCGACCTGAGAACAACATAGAAGACATTGCCGGCGTTCTTGGGACGCTGGCTCAACCCGTTCCTGTCCAAAGGTCCTGGTGTCGGCTTCCGCTCGAAGATGCTCTTATACATGGTCTGGTAGACGCTCTGGCTCGGGGCGGCGACGGTAGTCGACCCGGTGGGCGTGGCTCGCTCGATGGGTTTCGCGTTGATCCCCATGGGCGTGTATTCACGACACACGGCGAAGTACCCCGCTGCTACGTCGTTGTCCTGGGTCGCCGGCCGCTTCGCCTGCCCGTCGTCCTTATCGCCAGCCTTTGCGGCTTGCAGGGCCGTGAGATCGTCCCCGGGCTGCACGACGGAGTCCTGACCGCCATCGGCGTCAAGGCTTATGTCGGCATCCTGGCGGTAGGGCAGAGTCAGGTAGGCATGGACGAAGACGGCGACGACGACCAAAGGTATGAAGGTCAGGCCTCCCAGGAGATAGGTGAACAGGAAGCCGGTCCAGCCCCCCATGGCTGCTGTCGCTTCACGTCCGTCTCCCAGGCGTTCCTCTGTCGCGCGGCTGCACTACGATCTGCAGTGCTGCTAGCAGATGGGTACGACGAAGTGGAGGGGTGTTGTCGGGAGCATCGGACGCTTGTTGTTGCTGGCGAGAATCTCGGGGTGGTACGATTCGGTGTTTCGCGGGGAGGGAATGGGAGCTCTTGTTTCAGGACGAAGGCAAATGAACACACGATTTAGCAAAGGCGACTTTTCAGAAAGTGGACAAGAAATCCCACGCGGGTTTCTAGGTCTTGGCCGCAGGACGGCGTTTCTGGATCGGAGATGGATCAGGTAAGACCAGTGGGAGGTCAGGTAGGCAGGTACTCTGGTCACTTTTGGAGCTTCCGGCGTCCAATGAGTTGCTCGAATGCCGTCATGTGATGGAGTTGCGGCGGGTGCCTCCCATAAGACAGCTGGCTTGAAAGCACCTGGGCAGGCACCTGTAGAGAGCCTGTACAAAGACCCTTTGACTTTGGGGGCGAGAATGAGCGCTGTAAGGTTGAGCTGTGGCCCTTGCGAGGCGTTCTCAGGTCTGACCTTGTGTGGATACGCAGGGCGGCTAGTAGGAGTCGTAGCGCACCAAGAGCCTGAGAGTGCCGAATGACCCGCAGACCGCTGTTCCTCGGCGGGAGAGCAGCAGCTCCGATCGGGTCGGCAGCCCACACCCTGTCTACCCCGCGAGAATCATTGGGAATGGGTCCCCTGAGCAGCGTGAGGTCACTGAGCAGCAGCAATAAGTACGCTGAGTGATGGGCCATGACAGAAGCCCAGACACTCTAATTTTGGGTTGACTGTTTGGCTTCGAAGAAAGACTTCTCAGGCTTCATTAGGTGTCGATACCTGGTCATAACAAGTCGCCTCACTTCCTTCAAGACAGAGTCAATCCGGCGCGATGAGATGAAGGGAACCATTTCATTGCGGGGACCAATCTACATGCCACTCGCTTGGTGGTGTATCGCATCAGCACTTGAATCGCTCTCTTCTCATCTCCTGAAAGCACAATGAAGTCAATAACACGTCTTAGCGTATTTCTTAGTCCGTAGCGTTGGACCAGTTGTATCCGTCTAATCTCCAGCTACTTTCCGTGTGTCTTTGTTGCGACCATCCAACCGAAACAACCGCCCGTCCAACAGTGACATCATAGCTCTTTATCAACCCAAGGCCGTTGCATCAGCCAAAACGTCCCTCACAAACGCCGGGGAGGAAACATCCCACACCAACATGGTATCTTGATTAAAACACAAAAGCCTCACCATTCCAACGACACCTTCCCTGCCTTTAGGACTAGTTCCCGAATGACCGGATCCAATACGCTCTTCTCCGTCTTGAGTCTCGCGCTTTGTTTGACGCGCGAGTAGAACACGGGGCAGTCTTTGCTGTCGCAAGGGACATCGTCTGCCGCAGGGAGTCCTGAGCAGCTTCGGCATATTCTGACCACTTCCATGTACTTTCTTTCTTCGTGATTTAGGCGCGTCTGGAGGTTGAAGAGAGACGACGGCGCGTCTTGCTCGCACTTCGGGCACAGGACGCCCTCCACCTGCATTTTGGCGTTGCATGAGATGCAGGATGCAGACTTCAAATACGATTCTAGAGTCTTCTTGGCCATCCCACCACCGAGTGTCTGGTCGACGCGACGGATTCGCTGTACCTTGGGCATCTCGTCGTACCACTGCCGGACGTTGGCGCCCACCAGGTTGAAGATCCTCTCCAGCGGCGGGATGAGGTTCTTCGATATGTAGTATTCCGCATCCAGCTGGGAGTGTGAGTCCTTTAGGAGATCTTCTGGAGCGACACATCGATCGATAAGACGCGCTCCTGGGGCACCAGTTATAACCACGTAAGGCACTCGCTCTCCATACTGTGGCTCTGCTCGCGCATCTTCGAGCATCCTTTTCGTGCTAATCAGCGCGCCGGGCGGCGGTGGACCTTTATCACTGTATGTTCCGAGCTTGACTTCTCTCGCGTAGCAAAAGTCCTGGACCGAGACGGACCCACGCATGATCTTTTCGCATTGTTTCTGGAAATACGACTTGACCTCGCTCAGGTTCGCCGTCTCGAAGAGAATCTTGAGCGCCTTCTCCTCGATCTTTTGCTCTGCAGGCGTACCGTCTCGTCGGACAGTCTCGATACCCTTTGCATCAAAGTCTGGCTTGACCTGATCCTTGCTCTCGTATTTGTAGCCAACGTAGCGTTTCTTCGCAAGCAGCACGCATGGGTGGTACACCTTCTCGAACTTGAGTTTGATAGGCCGCGGGTTCATGTCGGTGATAGCCTTGGCGATCTCGTTGCCAATGTCGAAGGCTTGGTCTTTGGTCCGGCCCTTGAGGTAGACAAACAGACTGTCAGTGTCTCCGTATACAACCTCAGCCCCCCAGCGCTCCTGCGAGTGGATAAATGCAATGGCTCTTTCCAACGTTTCTCTCCCTGTTTGCACAATGCTGTCGGCGATTTCGGAGCATGGCATCCGACCGGAGAAGGACGCCGATGTGTAGCCGTAGGTGACGTTAGCAAGGAGCTTCAGTGCGAGCTGTCGATTGTTAAGCAATTGCTGCAACGTCTTGTCGTCCTTGTCTTGCTTCATCCCACTCTTCACCATGACTCGAGTTTCGAGGATCTCACCAAGCATCTTTGCGAGCAAAGACTTGCGAATCTCGGGCCTCACATACATCATCCCGTTGGGGGTAATGTTAATGTGGTCTTTCAGGAGCTCCAGAAGTCGCTTGTGTCTCTGATACTCTGTGAATCCCATCTTGTTCATTCCTCTCCAGTTGACAATGCGGCCGAGGAAGGTCGAGTAGCAAAGATTATAAGCGATCATGACGCTGGGATACAGACTTTGGAAGTCGAGCACCAGGAGTGGGCTGTTGTAGAATGCGCTCTGAGGCTCCATAACCAGTGGGAGACACTCAAGTGCATTTTGGCCACCGACCTGCTTTCGGCTAGGAGAGACAAGCATGAAGTTCTCGGGTTTGGCGATCCTGAACATGATAGACTCGACCTTGAACTGCGAGCCGCGGGAGAACACGGAGAAGAAGTCTACTCCCAGTAGTCGGGCCTGCTCACTAGTCCTAGGAATCAGTTCGTTTGATTCTAGGATCTGAATGTCAATCCGTGTGCGAGCAAGATAGTAACGCAGCAGCTTGTCAAGATCCCGTTGCTTGCTGCTCTTGTACCATTCCGTCAAGGTTCTCCAGGAATAGTGAGGTATGCGGCGGTGGAGCACATGCCACACGACGTTTTCCATGGTGTACTGGAGCAAATTCAGCTCCCCTCGCATGGCTCGCCAGATGTTGATCATATGTCTCCCTGTGACACGAATAGTTGAGGTCGTGTTGAAGCCCCAACGATCATTCTCTTTTCCGATTCGGCCATGGGAGTTGCTCTTCATACGAGAAAACTCGTCGCAGAGGTCATAATCGTACTTCAGGCGGGCTCTCTCAATAAGGTAGCCCCATGAACTGCCGTGGACCTCGTAGCCCGTCAAGATGTCAGGATCATGGGCCCTGACAATCTCCACCATACGGACCATTAGATCCAGCTCAGATGACTCTTCCAAGATTTCTGCTGCGATGTATCGTCTCATTCGCGCAGCAAGCTCACCATCGGGTGAAAGAACGACAACACCAGCAATAATGCCGCCAGCCGCGTCCTGGCTAGCGCTAATTGTGCCGTCTGCCTTGATAGACCAGAAGATGCATTGAACCTCGTCCTCTTCAGGATTCGGGACAAATTTCCCTCTCGTATTGACATGCACCTCCAAAGCCATGGTACTCATATACTGAGCCTCATGCTTAACGCTTGTTGACTTCTTTTTCGGTGAGTACTTGAAGCCATGCTTGTTCTTTGGTGTAGGGCCGTCGATTTGAGAAAGATAGCGTTTTGAAGCCAGTGGGGTTCCTGCAAGTTTACCATCGATTTTCTTGGGCCCCTTCTTCGGAGGATGCTTCTTCTCCCACCATTCTTGCACCTCCTTAGATGATGGTGGTGGTTGAGCTATCTCCCAGCTTCGGTAAGAGCAAATCCTACCTTGCGCCTCATAAGCTTGGTCTGTCTTGGTCCTATCGTACGGCGTGTCTGGCTTCATTCCCACACTTGCTGCAGATGTCCCAGAAGGATCAAAGTCTGCAAGGTAGGGCAGCGTGTTGCTCTCGAGCCGGAACTCCCGACCAGCATATTCTCGTGGCCGAGGAGGGACATCCTTTTCCTCGCTGTAATATGCATCTTGGTAGATCGCATCGGGTATTTGCAAGTCCTTCAACGATGACGTGATGTCCTTGAGAACAGGAGGCAGCGTTCCGATGATAAATTGTCTCTTGTTTGAGAAAGCCCCGAGCGCCGTCTGCGCTCGATGAATCAGATTTTCTGTTCCAGTTGAATCTTTGGGCGGACTCGCGATACGGACTTTCTTGGGTGTAGGGTTGGAGTCAAGCTTGGTACCCACGGTGTCTGGAGCGAGATTGAAGGACACGTGCTTCTGGGACTCTTTCTGCTCTTGCTGGGACCCCCGAGGTTGGCTCTTCTGGCTCAGCCGAAGCCTGGTGGTTGGATCTTCCTGGCTTTTGACTACCGGAAAAGATAGTTGCTGATTCGCCATCGGCTTTCCATCAGGGCCTTGTGAAGAGCGGGGGTTGTTTTGGGAATTGGAAGGAAGCATCACAACCTGTTTCATTTCCGAGTCTCCTTCTGCTGGAAGGTACGCTTTTGCGGCGACAGGAGGCGCAGAACGTGGTTGTTTTGATGGTTCTGTGGTGTCTGTTCGGGTACGTTTGATTGAAGGCGCCGCTGGATGAGGCGACACCGACCTCTTTACTGCCACTTTTCGTTGCGTGTTTGAGCGCGCCTCTTCCTTCGATCTGGAAACGAGACCCTCCGCCTCGGCGGCATCAAGCAACTCCTGCCAAACAGGCATTACAGGCGGAGTGCCAGTTTTGAGCCTGCTTGTACAGATGCCCTCGTATGGTGGGAGCGAAGGATCTCTCAGGCCCTTTACTGTGTTTGAAGCCTTCACAACATGACCTCCGTTGGCATTATTACCTGCCACATCTGTTTTCGGCTTCTGAAGCCCCGGTCTCTTACTCTCATTTTCAGCAGCCGGGTCCAATTGGTCACCCTTCTTCAGACCAAGTTCGTCCAACTGCATGAGAGCCTCCTCGTCAGAATCGACCGGAAATGGGTCGAAGTCTTCACCTTCTAGTTCAAGAACGCCCTGCTCGTCGACTTCGATACTGCTCGCGGGGTTTTGGTTTGATGGGGCGTGATTGGAAGGTAAACCTAAGGCGGGCAAGAGATTGGTCGGGTACAAATCTTCTACAGACTGTAGCGCTGTTTTGACTTTGGATTCCAGAGGTTTATGCTCAACAAAGGTGTCGAAGTTCGGCTCAGAAGTGTCTTCTGGGTCCTTCTCGGCTTCGATGAGCCTAACCACTTCTTCTTGGTATTCCTCTTCGTGAATCCATCCTTGCGGCTGCGAGTCGCGTGCATTTGCTGACATCGAGATCAAAACTTCAGCTGGGAAGGGACTGCTGCCAGGGTCTGCGTTTGGCATCTTCAACTTCCGCCGGCGAGTCTCATCCTTCCAAAGCCCTGCCATGCTGTAGACCAGTTTAACATCCGCAGGAAGCGGCTTCACTCTCTCCACAAAGTCATGATGAAGCCTGCGTTCTTTCACCATCCGGCGGTTGATGATGTTTTGCACGCAAATATCAACTTCGACAGAGCAATGACTGACCCTGGGCAAGCTCAAGTCCTCCAGCACACGGCCTCTTGGGATGGAATGGTCATGCCAGAGGTGCTGGGAGTTTCCTTCGACGTCGTAAGACGGTATCGGGCCTCTGAAATAGACATCAGACGCATCCAGATACCCGCAGCCGTATAGGTTGTAGTCTGTCATGAACTGCAACAAGTACTGAAGGTGCGCTTCGTAAGGCTGGAACTTCTTCTTCAGAATGACACCCTGTTGAAGCAAGTCGGCCAGCCTTGTCATGACGATCGGGTTGAACATGTAGATCTTGAGAAAGAATCTGTAGCCGACATGAAAGCCGTAGAAGGGAACACCCTTCACAAGGGTGATTCGCGCCACGAACTTGGCATTATCTGCATATTGATCACGCCGATAGCTGACGGCCAGGGCATGATCAATGGAAAGATGAAGGCGATATATGTAGGCTCCCACTGTACGCTTGATGAGATTGTGATATTTAAAAAAAACAAAAAACGGAAAAAGTATACTTACCATCCTCTGGCTCCAAGCTGCCTTGATACTCGACATACAAGTACGGGAAAGCCCCATGTATGTGAGCGCATACTTTCTGGCCAGTTTCCGTTGAACCAAAAACTCTAACGACCGGGACCTTGGGGCCCTTCTTGGCTTGTGCAGGGCCTATGTCATTGCGAAGTTGGGGGTCGTAACGTGTTGGTGTCGCCTGGTAGTGGTCGATGCAGTTCAACCTCACCCTGAACAGGTCCATCGTGGCTGCGAGCGAAACTCATGGAGGATGAGAGAAGGCGGAACCGACAGAAATCATGGTCAGCAGGCACCGAACACGCTGGAGCACATACTGAGGGCGTTTGTCTCCTTTGGGAAGCTCAGCGGCGACGCGACCTTGTCGTGTTGTTGCCGATGGGAAGCGCGTCACTAACGCCTAGGATGAGCGGTGTCACGTGGCGATAAGATTCAACCCACACAGCCACGATTTAGTGTCTCAGCCACGCTTTCGGATTTGCTCAAGCTCGGCCTTACTTTCGTCGCGTTTGCCTTCATCTCGTCCAACCTGCCTACCTATCTCTTCGTTAGGTGCACTCGGCATATCTCGTCTCCCCTTCGCTACCAAGCAGAACGACGCACTTCTCTTCCAAAGTCAAGATGCCTCCACCACCGCCCCCCCGAAAACCCGATCCCAAGGCTTCAGGCGCCGCTTCAAAGGAAGAGAACATTTACATCCCCTCTTTCATCAGTAAAAGGCCGTTTTACGCCGGCGAAGAAGGGGACCAGACCGACTACCTCGAGCACCAGCGTCTACAAAACAAGAAGAACGATCAGTCAAAATGGTACGATCGTGGGAGGAAGGCTGGCCCGGCCGCGACCAAGTACCGCAAGGGCGCCTGCGAGAACTGTGGCGCCATGACACACAAAGCCAAAGACTGTCTCAGCAGACCGCGCGCGAAAGGCGCAAAGTGGACCGGCAAGGATATCCAAGCAGACGAAGTCATTCAAGACGTCAACCTCGGCTGGGACGCCAAGCGAGACCGCTGGAACGGATATGACCCCAAGGAATACCGGAATGTCGTGGAAGAATTCAACGAGATGGAGGCGCTGAGAAAGAAGGCACTCAAGAAGGGCGACGCTGAGGACGAAGATGATGGCGACAAGTACGCAGAAGAGAACGATATGAGCAAGCACCAGAGTACTGCTACGCGCCAGCTCAGAATACGAGAGGACACCGCCAAGTATCTCGTCAACCTGGACCTGGACTCGGCCAAATACGACCCGAAGACGCGATCCTTGGTGGACGGAGGTGCGACTGCGGACAAAGCGGCAAATCTCTTCGCGGAGGAGGGTTTCATGCGCGGTTCGGGAGACGCCAACGAGTTTGAAAAAGCTCAAAAGTACGCTTGGGAAGCGCAGGAGAAGAGCGGTGACACCACGCAGCATTTGCAGGCTAACCCTACCGCCGGAGAGTTTTATCGCAAAAAGGAGAAGGAGGAGGCGGAGAAGAAGCGCGCAGAGAGGGAGAAAAAGCTCAAGGATATGTACGGCGACACCTCGCAGTACACGATGCCTGAAGAGATGAAGAACCTCATCACCGAGTCGGAACAGTACGTTGAGTATGACGAGAGCGGCCTCATCAAGGGCGCACCGAAGGTCATCGCGAAGTCCAAGTACCCTGAGGACGTCTATATCCACAACCACACCTCTATCTGGGGAAGTTGGTGGTCTAACTTTCAATGGGGTTACGCTTGCTGTCACTCGGTAGTCAAGAACAGCTACTGCACGGGCGAGGAGGGGAAGCAGGCATGGGAAGCTTCGGAACGTCAGCGAACTGGCCTTGCCTTGGCTCCTCAGGAGGAGGCTCCCGAGGCTCCCGAGGCTCCCAACGAGGAAGAGAAGCAGGAGATTCCTCCCGAGAAGGTGGCAAAGAAGCGAACGGTGGAGGAGATGATGGGAGGTGTATCAGAAGCCGAGATGGAAGAATACAGGAGGAAACGGACGGCAGCAAACGATCCGATGGCAAAGTTCCTGGGCAAGGATGAATTGGTTTAGACTATCGAGGCATTGCATTGGACAAATATGATACCCATTCCCTTCATCACTGGCGTGCAAGGGTGAAATGTGTTTCCTGAACAAAATTGACTTTTCTGTAACATTCATTCGTGGTATCCCGTATTTGATGCAATCATTCCATTTTGCCTCTGGCGAACGCCGTGACTATGAACACCCCAATTCCCACATGGTTGGTTTTGTTTTCCAGCCAGTCCCAGAGCTTTTGTTGACCTATCCTTAGCCTAAATGGTGGCGTTGCATTTACTCCTCATCCTCCTCCTCGTCACCACCGTCGGCCTTCTCGGCGGCGGCGGCCTTCTTTCTGCGGACACGGCCGGGGCGGCCACCGCCGAAGGGCGAGGTAAGGGCGAAGTCAATGTGCTTCTGGGAGTCGAGACGGACGATGAAGGAAGGAACGTTGACGATCTGCTTGCCGACACGGATGTGGCGCTGGCGGATGAGAACACGGGCGTGGTGGATGGACTTGGCGAGGCCGAGCTTGTAGACGCAAGTCTGGAGGCGACGCTCAAGGAAATCCTCGACCTTCAGGGCAAGGACGTAATCGAGCTTCATGCGAGACTCGTCGAGGACACCGACACGCACGAGACGGCGAATCAGGGCGTTACCCTCGAAGAGGCGCTTGGGGTCCTTCTCGTCAAGGGTCAAGAGCTGACTATGATGGGTGTTAGCTATATTGTGCCCCTCCCACACCAAGGGCGCAAACATGTATGTTCACATGCGCAACCGGGAAGAGCAACACATACCGGGCAGCACGACGAATCTTGGAGAGGGTAAGCTGGACACGCCAGACCTCACGCTTGTTGCGGAGACCGTACTCGCCCACGAGCTTAAGCTCGGAGTCCCTGTTATGTCGAAGTCAGTTTTCGGAATTCACGACGTAAACCGAGCAAGCTCAAGTTCAGTGGCCGGAGAATACTGACAATCGGGCGGCCTCGAAGGGGCGACGGGGGACCTTGGAGGTCTTGGAGTAAGTGAGACTGATGCGCAATCATCGTTAGCAAGTCGAATTGCAGTGCGCCATCGCCATCACCAGCAACTTACGGAGCCATCTTGCCGACCCGTCGATTTTCCTCGTTGTCGTTGTCGTTCGATACACGAAGAAAAAAAAAGTGTCAAGGCAGACAGTAAAATGCAAAGGTGGGCAAGAAAGGCGTGGGACAGGGCTCGCTTGTGGTGGAGACGCCCTGCGCTGGCCTTGCCCAATTGGGGATGGCGGGTCACGTGGCGGACCCAGGTGCCCTAAGGAAAGTGCGACCCCCAGGGCCCTCGGGAAACAGCTCCCACACGACGGCTGCCGAATGCGAAATTTTGCCTGGAGTTTTTTTTTTCGCGATCTCCTCAGGACCTCGACGACAACTAACCATCACCAACCGCCCTTAACGACAAAACACCGGCAAAATGGGTCACCCAGCGGGTCTTCGCGCGGGAACGCGCGTATGTCTAACGATTCCAACGATTTTTCGAGATTGCGGGCGGATTGCTGACGGTTCGTTTGCAGTATGCGTTCTCCAGAAACTTCCGTGAGAAGGGTATGATCAAGCTCTCCACGTACCTCCGCGAGTACCGCGTTGGCGACATTGTCGACATTAAGGCGAACGGTGCCGTCCAGAAGGGGTAAGCAACGAACCCGCCCGACCTTGGAATTGCAATGGCACGGCACACGGCGCAATCGAGGAAACTTTGAAGTTGGCCGAAATTGTGGTCGTGTGTGCGTTGTGGTGTCAGGGTCTTGTGTGTCTTGTACACAAAACAGGATGACTGACAGGACGGGTCTGCAGTATGCCTCACAAGGTCTACCACGGCAAGACTGGTGTCATCTACAACGTCACCAAGTCCGCCGTCGGTGTCATCATCTACAAGAAGGTCAAGCACCGCTACATCGAGAAGCGCATCAACCTCCGCATCGAGCACATCCACCCCTCCCGCTCCAGAGACGACTTCCTCCGCCGTGTCAAGGAGAACGCTGCCCTGAAGAAGAAGGCCCAGGCCGAGGGCAAGCCCCTCCAGCTCAAGCGTCTCCCCGCCCTCCCCCGCGACGCCCGCACCGTCTCCTTCAAGGAGAACAAGCCCGAGACCGTCACCCCCCTTCCTTACGAGACGACGATTTAAGAGTGTCTTTGTGGGGGGTTTGGCAGTTCTTCTTTTGCATGGGGTGTTTACGTGAGGAACGGAAAGAATTCTAGCATGGAAAGGCATCACGTTTTCGGCAACGTTCATAGGGAATGGAAAAAAGAAACCAATGACACTTCATCGTCTGCCTGTACGCCGGAATGCTACTCGTGAGACCCGTTGGCCCCTCTGCGACCTTGCCGCCGTGCCTCGGGGTCGTCCCTCTGGGTCGGGAGCGCGGTACAGGTCCGGTGTCTGGGTGTTTTGTGTTATTGAGGAAACCACTGTCAATCCAGTGCGCCTGTTTGGTTGACAGGCAGAATAGATCGCCCAGGTCCTCCGCCGGGCTTCATGATACCCTCGATCAATGGAAGAACATGACCTTGCGTATTGAATGCAATTATTGAAGTGCGATGACAAAGCAAAAAGCTTCACTTGCCATCCTTGAAATCCCATCAGATCCTCCTCGTCTGGGTTGGTGACTTTCTTATTCTTTCAGCACTACTCCCGTGCCCGATACAGTACCCATCAACAAGGTTCGGGGCCGGCATTGCATGAGTAACGGCCACAATTGTCCATCACAAGCTTATAACTGCCCAGCATATGGGAACAACCAATTGGCTCCGGGTCTGGTCTGGTTCAGAAATCAATGCACTTGGGCAACTCACTTGAAACCCGCCATCGATGCGAGGGGCGATTCCTGGTGCATCCGCATATGCACTGTAGCTGAGTTCATCCCCTTGACTACAGTCATGAGTTTGTTCTTGATACATGCAATGCGCCATTGTAACCGTGTGTCGAAGGACCGGCTGCACAAAAGCTTCCACAATTGCTTGCATTCCGTCTGTCTCATTCCAACTGTAGTTCATCACTTCGCTTGACAGAATTGTCGAGAGACACATCTTTAAGGGCCTTTCCGTGTGCATCGCAATTAGAAGTCCGGGCAGTGCCGCAGGGACCTCTTGGGGCCAACTTTGATCGTTTTACCCCACCATTATCGTCATCAAATCAGGCATCTGTCCGGAGCTTAGGTACCTGGCCCCTCTGTGGCAGTGGTAAAGTGACAGCCCGTGTCACTGACATTTGCCCCGG